GATTGAAGGGGAAATAATTTAGCGGCTGAGGGAAGAGACCTAAGTAGTGTGACCAGAAGACCTGCTGGATGACTATGCTTCATGGGAAGGCCTGGCAGACACACATTTACCAAGTTTATCATGTATGCACTGGTGAGAGGGCACCAGCATCAAAGTATTGAGTGTGGCTATTGGTCAGGGATATCAACTAGGAAAGACTATTGCAAAACTCAGATCACTGATTGCAATGAAGATGAGAAAATCCCCAAATTACAGAGGCCAAGTGATGCTAATGAACTGCCAGAAGCCAAGGGAAAACAATCAGAATAATGACAGGCAAGGGTATGAAGATAGGTCACAGACCACAATACCTTAGTGGCAAAATGGATAGGTATCTAGTAGCATTACTATCCAACTTGTTTAGAAGAAGAAGAAATCAAGTATGTGGACTGGGAAGAAGGTACTGGATCATTCTCTCCTTTAAAAAGTCACGCAGCGTGCAGTGCTATGTGTTAATTCTAGCTCAATACACGCACAAAACAAAACATCATGATCCTTGGATACTTGGATATATACCTGGACACGAGTCAGCTTAGCTTTTAAAGCAGGAACCCACTGACTAAAGCAGTGGGTCCTCGGGAAGAAGAATCCACGGAAAGAACACAGGAAAACTTTAGGTTTCCGGTCTAACATGTAAGCAGTTTAGAACTTTTCACTCCACCCCAAGAAGTAAAAGTCTGAATAAACTTAGTTTTTAAAAAGGATGTGTGACCATGAGGTGCCAAATGATATACTTCAACAATTGTCCATTATGAGCTGGGCCCTGTCATCCTATATAATAAAAGGGTAACATGCAAATCGACCAAACGGTAGAATGACCAGTTACTATGATACGCACTGACCACCAGGGGGCAGGCACTCAACGCAGGAGCTGTCCCTTGGTGGTCAGTGCACTCCCACAGGGGGAGCGCTGCTCAGCCACAAGCCGGGCTGATGGCTGGCGAGTGCAGCGGCGGAGCCTATCCCGCCTCCGTGGCAGTGCCAAGGATGTCCATTTTGGCTTAGTGGGAAGCAGGCCTAAGCCATCAGTTGGATATCCCCCAAGGACTCCTGAACTGCTAAAGGGCGCAGGCCGGGCTGAGGGGACACACCCCTGCCCAAGTGCACGAATGTCATGCATCGGGCCTCTAGTATGTAAAGAAAATTACTAAAAATTGCTCTAGGTAAAAAGAGCTACTTTAAACCAATTTTAAATGAACATTTCCGCAATATTATAACTTTACCAGTGGCCCGGTACATGGATTTGTGCACACTGAAAGGAAATTAATTAGAAGGTGGACGGCTGGACGGGACTGGGCGAGACAGGCTGGACATGCCCTGGAGCCAACCTCCCGTGGTCTCTCCCCTTCTGGCCGCACCTGGGGTGGTGCTGCAGCTCAAAGGGCATCTGCAGTCACCGCAGCTTGACAATAAACCAGATTCAGGCCGACAGTGCCCCAGCAACAACACAACCCATGGCCAAAGCTGGAATCACATGGTACCGCAAGGAATTGGGCTCCCTCCTCTCTGGTTCTTGGTGTGCCTCCCAAGAACCGCTGCTGCCAAGTCACTGCAGCTTGGCAACTCCTGCATTGAGCATCTGTCCCCTGGTGGTCAGTGCGTGTCATATCTACGGGCTGGTCAGATGGTTGCTTAGCCTATATATATAAAAATCACACTATCCATTTCTCCTTTTTTCTTCTTTCTAACAAATAATTACACTGTTCAAATTACCTTAATTTTAATGACTCCATCTTGTGTTTCACAGTGTTGCTTTAGAAAAAGCTTTAGTTTATCACGAGAAAATAGGTGTTTTCTCCGGCTAACGGGGAAAAAAGGAGAGGAAAGTGTTAGGATCAAAGAATTCAATCCGAACTTCATAATCTCTGTAAATCCATAACCTCAATTTCAAGCCTAGGAAAATGACATTTCATTTTCTAAGAGTATTTATGCAGAAGCAGGAAGAAACTTTATACAGAAGTACTTAGTAGAATGTTATAACATCTACTTGATTGGATCTATTATAAAAGTCCATTAAAATAGTATATGTATTTATTGCTTAGGAACCACTTAGAAATAAACCGCAAGGAAAATATACTACGAAGAGAAAACCAAATCTTATAAAATTAGATGATCATTCCTACAAGTTATTACCATTGAAATTCTTTAAAAAATTAAAATCAGTAGTCTTTAACAGTAACACTAGGAAAATCAACATTCAAATGGATATTGTGAATAGAGTAGGACATGGGTTTTATCAAATTCTAAAATATTTTGTGTTTAAACTTCATATGGCAGCCAACATATTATGGGATTGGAATTAAAGAGAATTTGAATTTTTAAAATTCTAATAATATACTATTTTTTATTCTCCCTTGCTCCCAAATTAAAAAAGAGTTACTACAACAGTAACAAAACCACAACAAAACAAAAAAAAATGACACACAAGAATTTCTGGAAAATTTCTAGAATAATGATTTAATTCAATTCAATGTCTTCCTTTCAAGAAAAAGCCACATTAAAAGCTTCTATGAGTAAATAAACTATTAAAAAGTTTTTAAGTTAAAGGCCCTCCCAAAAATATTATTATCACTTTTCTTCAAACACACGAGTATATATGGGACAAAAGAGATGAGAAAATAAGTAAAAGCATTTTACATCAAACAAAATGCAAGATGGACTCCTATATGGCAAGTTGATAGTAAACTGATAATATCAACTTATTCAGATGACTAAGAGCCTAACCTCAGCAGGCAAAAATAGGAATTTTCCCTATGTGCAGTGCTGATTCTTTTGTTAACCACTCATTACCTCTCTTTTTTTAATTAGGTCTCCAAGAGGAATTTTTAAAGATACTCAATTTTTATTATTTAACTTTCTTAAGAAATGAGAAAGGACTGATCAGATGCTTGTATCTAATGAATAAATTATTACAAATGTGACTGACATATTTGTAAGCACCATCAAATTTCTCAAAATTTCTCAGCTTTGAAAATTGAGTTCTCTCATGAGAAGTACTTCATAAATAGCATCTGTCATAATTTCTTAGATGTGAAGACTATTTACAAATCTAAATAAAGGGCTCATGGAGTCCATTAAGATTCATGTTATCAGCCTATGAGCATATAAATGTACATTTATTTAAAAAAAAGAAGCAAACACTTCCAAGTTGTTTTACATCAAATCTTCTTAACCTAACATAATTATACTACCTTAAAGCAGCACAGAAAAGATGCTGAATTTTACCTGATTTGTGTGGCTTTAACAATAGCACACTCAAATAATTCTTTTTTAGTGGCTTGCACCTTGTACTTGAATAATAAGGGATCAATTGCATCTTGTTTCTTCCTAAAAAGAGTAGAGATATAAATTGGTTAATAATTTATTTGGAAAGGTGAGGTTTTAAATAGAAATCTAGTTCCTAAGAACATACTATAACAGAACCTAAAATATTTTTAAAAAATATATTTTATTGATTTTTTACAGAGAGGAAGGGAGAGGGTCAGAGTCAGAAACATCGAGAGAGAAACATTGATCAGCTGCCTCCTACACACCTCCTACTGGGGATGTGCCCGCAACCAAGGTACATGCTCTTGACCGGAATCGAACCTGGGACCTTTCAGTCCATAGGCCGACGCTCTATTCACTGAGCCAAACCAGTTAGGGCCTAAAATATTTTTATATTTTCTTTTATTTTAATCCTCACCCAAAGATTTTTTCCATTGATCTTCAGAGAGAGCTTGAAGGGAGGGAGAAAGGGAGAGAAGAAGGGAAGGAGGAATAAAGGAATGATGGGAAGAAGAGATATGTGAGAGAGATACATCGACTGGTTCTCTCCTGCACTCTCCCAGACAGGGACAGGGATCGAACCTGCTACTGAGGTACATGTCCTTGCCCAGGAATGGAACCCCCGAGATGCTTTGGTCCCTGGGCCAATGCTCTAACCACTGAGAAAAAACTGGCCAGGGCTGTGTATTTTAATTTTAACTAGAATTTTAAATGTTACTGATATTCCTTACCATTCTATTAGCCAGAATAGTACAAAGCACTATTTTGTTAGGTAGACACTCTAATTTCTCATTCGATAAAATTTTCCTTGGGTGAAGAAAATAGTTAGAGATGACTTAGCACAAAGTACCCAGTTTAGTTTAAATTAATAAACAAACAAATAGATCTTTTATTTGCTTTTAAACTTTCTTCTTCATAGCTTTGTAATTCAAGAACAAAAGTAGAGATAATGTAGTTTATCCTATTTTAAGAATTGGCAAAGAAGTACACATTTAAAACCTCCACTCCCATCAACTCATCTTTTCTTCCCTTTGAGGGTGCATTCATTCATTCATTCATTCAGTTATAAGTTTCAACATGCTCAATATGGATGTACTTTAAAAAAATAATACTAAGTGAAATAAGCCAGACACAAAAGAACAAATATTGTATGATCCCACTTATACGAAAATATGTAATTAATGCCACTAAATTATACAGTTAAAATGGTTAAAATGGCAAGTGATTATATTATACATGTTCTCTCTCTTTCTCTCCATCTGCCTCACCCTTTCTCCCACAAAATGCTGGTGATCATTTTGAGCACCTAGGCTTATTTCCAATATCCTGCTTTAGTATATCTTGCAGGTATTATGAACTATGTGATACTTTTTAACTCAACTTCTATTTCTCCTCAATGATATAAGAATATGACTACCTACCCTTATAGAATGGGTCTGAGAAATAAATAAGACAACATATGTGGGTGCTGTTACATAGTTTAACTCATGGAAAATGCCACCTACTAAAACATAAGAAAATCCAAATTACATTTTGTTTGGAGGGAACAACCAAGAAGTAAATCACTTAAGTTAGGGAATTAATAGAAATAACTCAACAGATGCTCTGGCTGGTGATGCTCAGTGGTCAGGCATCAGCCCAAGAACCAAAGGATTTCAGTTCGATTCTGGTCAAGGGCGAGTACCTGGGCTGCAGGTTCGACTCCAGGCCCCATCTGGGCATGTGTGGGAGGCAACCAATCAATGTGTCTCTCTCACACTGATGTTTCTTTCTCTTCTTTTTTCTCTCTTCCTCCCTCCCTTCCACTCTCTCTAAAAATCAATGGAAAAATATCCTTGGGTGAGGCTTAACAACAACAAAAAGAAATAGTTCAACAGAGTAAAGGTCCACAGATGTCTATGTTTCACCCTTCCTGATATCTCAGGATATAGCAGTAACAATCTATAAACAACCTGGCATTTTATGATGTTGATGTATAATGAAAGCTCAGATTCTTTGAGAATCACAAACTGGTTAAAAATATCTATGACTAAATAATAGACCAGCTTACTCATTTTTCCTATATCAAGTGTTTATTCCTATGGCTAAATCCAGTTACACTTTGTAATGAGCTTGTTATAAGTGGCACAAGTGAGATTGACCAATAGAAATATTCCTCTAAATGCTACATATAACAGGCAAAATATTCACTTACTAATTGGGATTCTGAATTAATTTGCTTTGTACTCAAGGTAAGAAATTAGCCACAAAATATGTAGTAGCTCTTATTCAAATCTAAAAAGAAGGGAAAGGACATTAATGCACCGAATAAGAGAGTGCCGAACCTAAGAAGCTAGACATTCCTCATCTCAAAACACGTAAAAAAATTAGAAGAATATATTAAAAGTTACTATAAAATAATCTTAAATAAATTATTTTAAAAAGAAAAAATAGATAAACAAATGCTTACCATATTTAAACATCAATTTAAAAAATATCTTTTACATACAAAATCTGTATTTAACTGTTCAAGACTTATCTAATATATAACTAAATCTAAGGGTTACAATCTTTGCTATACTCAAAAAAAAAAAAATCACATGAACTACTTTCAGAGTTGCTACTTTCAGAGCATACATTAACTACCACAATATCCACTAATGTTGCATGCCAAACTATGTATTCAATAAGACACACAGACAACTAATCTATTAATTTCTTTTTCTGCTTAACAGCAACTCAAGAAAAAAATGAGATGTATCAAAAGACTTATATAGGACCATATCATGTTTCACTCACTCATCCCAAAATCGTTTTTTTCTTTCAGGCAATGTATTAGTTAGATGACCTTGTGCAAAGCCAATTAACCTTTCTAAGGCTCAGATTCTTGTTAAGTAAAAATAACAATACTCTTCAGAACCGACAAACATGCAAATCAAGCACTTTGCACAGTGCCAGGACACAGTAAATGCTCAAATTCTAGCTATGGATACAATAGTTCGAGTCAGACAAAACAAGAACTTGAATTACAAGGTTTTGAGGTATAGAACCTGTCACTAGTATTTTCAGGAGCAAAGGAGTTAAAGGAAGTATTTAAGAGTGGCCTCCAGTTTCTTATTTGATTATGGTACTATTCATTGAAAAGAGGGAAGAAAAAGATAAGAAAGGCTGAAGAAAGCGTTTTTACGTCTGAGATTCCTAAAAGGTAGAGCGGGAACAGAATGGAGCAGTGAAGAATTAGGTAGTTGTAGAGAACAGGAAGGAAATGAGCTAAAACACTTAGACACTTAATCAGTTGAGGACTCAGCAGAGATTTTAAATTTACCTGCAGGGAGTGCTAATCTAGATGTGTCTGTGTGCTTTTTCTCTAAGATCACTCAGCAGAATAAGGCTGCCAAATGAATGCATTTCAGGAAGTTACAGAATTTCTTTACCACATGTATCACAAAGTGAGTAAGTCTAATAAAGTACAGAATGAATTTTCCCAAGTAAACAAAAGTGGAATGT